ACCATCGCAGCCGCCCATTCTTTGAGTCGGCCAGAGCAAAGTTAAATCTATTCTCAAAGGAGAGCTTTTCGCTGATTTTCATTGTAAGTTTACCTTAATGTTAGACATTGTGATTCGTCGGTTCCAAGCTTTTCAACGTATATTTTGTATAGTTTATCTCTAGTATTTATTAGTTCCGTGAAGTCTTATTCTGTCTTATCGTTTGCTGGTACATGGCAAATAACATATGCGTACATGTTAGTCACAGGGTCATGGACTTATATTACTTTCATATTAAAACACATCAGTATTAATTTTAAGTGGATTTTTGTAAGAATATTTAATGTCCTCATAAGTGAACGAACATCAAAGGCAGGACGTCTACAGATTATTCTCCCAGTAATGCGCCTTTGCTGCCAACGCTTTCAGTGATTTGATTTGATTTGATTTGATAACATTTATTTACAGAACAGTGTACATCTTACCCTGCAAAAACCCAGGGTAAGATACCAAAGCATCTATCCAAACGGGCTGAGCTTCTATTTGTGGAGAGGGCCTTCGGTCAAACATTAGTGTTACATACATGCCTGCAGGGCTGTGCTATTATCACTGTATTAAAATATCATCTGGCTGGTAAAAAAAAACCCTTTTACATCACTAATCATGTCAAAGATAAGACAGTGTCTATAATAGAGTTAATATAATCAACGAGTGCTAATCTGTGAACAGTATTATTTGATCGATAAAATGCAGTTTTTATGCAACAGAGTAAGTAATGAGTGAGATTATGCGACTTGGGTGCCTTGCGCAGTTTGCAGTGATGATATGAAACAGGTTTTGCATCTAAAACTGCATCCTGTACATATTATATAGTGTACTGATACTCTCTGCGTAGCTTAGTTAATGTAACCTGTTGTCTCCGAAACAGTCCGTAATAGACTTTATAGGATTTGTCTAAATCTGATGTACCAGCAATACTCTCGTAATGCCAGATGGTACCATGTCCGTCTTTTTTCATCTTTCCAGTGGTCCATACCTGACCCTCATAATCTCGAAGACACTTGATAACTCGTTTTTTTTTTCATTTGATTGAGAGATAGCGGTATTACATAACATGGATCTGCATGGAAAGTGCTAACCTGGCTAACTTATCAGCCCTGTCACATAGTGATATTCCTATATGAGAGGGTATCCAGTATAGTGACACTTGAATAGACTGTTCTGATAGTTTAGAAATTTGAAGGATATTCCTCGTTACCATATTTTCTGGATTAAATGCAGTAAGCCTTGGAGAGCGCCTTGGAGAGCGCCTTGGCTGCTGATGACTACCTTTCTTAATGGCATGGTATATAGCTACTGACTCGCCTTCAGAGAGCGCAGACTCACGACATTCGGCCTTTATATTCAAGCCAGGCATCAATGTGCGATGTTAATTATCTTTAGTGTATAGTACCACACCATCTTTACTTGGACATTTATTGTTAAGAAACTTAAAATTAGGTCAGGAGTACAGCAAGAGTGCGTCGCCTGCCAAGCGGGTCCCACACAGGCCAACGGTCCTGGCGGCGAGGACGAGGCCGCGAGAATGAGACGCAGACGACGCAGAGTTCCAGGGGCGGTGCGGATATTACCATTTGCTAGTTCACTGGGGTCTGTTTCATTGTAGCAACTGAAAACATTCAAGCTTCTTGAGTTACACTGTTCATTTTCATCTGAGTCATAAACACTTAGGGGACTTGCTCCGTAATCATCTTGCACAAAATCAAAAGCGAGACTGGGAAATAAAATCCAAAGAGTGAGGGTTTACTACATCATTAAGGAGCAAATTCAGGAACTGCAAGTCAGTCAGCTCAGAGAAAGGAAAGCAACTTATGTTCATGGAATCAGTGTCGATCCTCAGGTTCCGACGAGCGTAGTCTTCATGCTAGTCCACACGTTGGGCACTTCAGTGTGGATTATAATACACACACACACATACACATACACATACACATACACATACACATACACATACACATACACATACACATACACATACACATACACATACACATACACATACACATACACATACACATACACACACACACACACACACACACACACACACACACACACACATATATATATATACATATATATATATATATATATATATATATATATATATATATATATATATATATATATATACACACACACACACACACACATTGTATGTGTGTGTATACATATATATATATATATATATATATATATATATATATATATATATATATATATATATATATATATATATATGTATACACACACATACAATGTGTGTGTGTGTGTGTGTGTATATATATATATATATATATATATATATATATATATATATATATATATATATATATATATATTTATATATATATATATATATATATATATATATATATATATATATATATATATATATATATATATACATATTCATATACATATATACACACACACATGAATATTGAAAATTGTAAAAATGAGACGTACTGACTGCCGTTTCTAAAACAGGCATACCATTCCAAGTTCCACCACATCAGTGGCGAGTGATATAGGGGGAAATAAAAAAATATGTATATAGATATTATTGGTGCAAAATCTACGGACACGAGTCGCGCGGTTTCAGTACCGCCGGCCGTCCGTTGTCTCCCGGTAAGGGATACGTCAAACTTTGCCCTCGTTAATACAATTACTCGGGGGTGATAAAGTATCAAATAATATTAAAAAAGGAAGAAATAGGTAGTTACCAGGTTATGAAAGTGCCATGTAACTGTGAAAGCTACTTCATTAGACCAAAGATCCATAATCGTAGTTGGAATAGTTAACCAACAAACTTCTATAGTCAAAGCACGGAGAAAAATTAGAGCCACTAGTATGACTTGAATGTTTTAGATCATTGGACTTGAATTTTAAGATCGATAGAGAGAACTAGTGTAACACGTTGCTCTGCGGTTGTGATTTCAGTGCATCTCTAAACTCCCAGCCTCTTCGATCAATCTCCTTCCTTCGATCAATCTCCTTCCTTTGATCAATCTTAGGCTTCCCGCTCGACCTGTCGTCTTCTAGACTATTTCCGACCTCCGGACGCAGCAGTTAGGACTGTTAATGAGAACTTCTTTAAAAAGCCCCACAGACAATTTCTTTATCAAAAGTCTGCCTTGACACTACAGGCCGATGATTTATTCCTGAACAATATGTTAACATTGGTACCAAGACTTGTATTTATAAAATCAAACTTCACGATGTCCTGGTATAAAACGACGCCTAATAATACCCCTCATACCAACGGGCGGCGTACTAATTTCCACGCTTTATGATATTCTGCATTGCAGCTTCTTAGCAAGCATGCCAGTTGAAGGTAATTATTCCAGCATTTACAATGTTGAGATATTTGGAATCTCAGCCTGGGAAAGCATGTAAGAATTTCTCGATGCGTTTAGCATGGACTTCCAAGCATGCCCTGGTATTTACGTACGGTGTCGTTGCTAATTTTCTGTATGAATGGAATTGAGGCCCAGCTAACCCTCCGGCGGCCTTGGAGGAACTGCCAGTTAAAAACACTAAAGTCAGGAGAAAATCATCTAGACACGGCTGAATTTTCTTGGTGGTAGAGAATATGTTCTAGAAGTCATTAATGCCAAGCCGACATATTATAGACTTTGGAAAACTTCTTGCGAGGATCTCACACATACCGCAAGAATTAGATACAGGTTGCACTGGAGCGTCAGGACAAACAAGACAAACTGTGCAGTGAAAAATGTCCGCCTTTCAGGCCACCTACGTAGACAGTACTTTTTGTTTGATGTATTAGACATCATTATAATATCGCAGATTTATAATATAACATTGCAATCAAGACCTCTCGAACGAGCACACATAAGCCTAGGTTTTGGCAGTTTTGAGGTGGCCGATTGAGGTCGTTCAAGGACCACGACCAAGAGGTCACAGGGTGGACTACCGAGGCACTGCTGGGTCTCTGGGATGCAAGTTCGAATGACTTGATTCCATTTAGATCCTAAGATAAAAGGTTACGAGTGTTTGACCGTTCCACAATTCTCGGGTAATATTATGACCGGTTCTACCACATGCCCAACCGAGAGACCTTGCGAACGAGTGCTTCGCCAAGTCCCAACTTGTCTAAGCGTTACAAGAAAGCGTCATACACCATATAGTCGTGCATATTCCTTTACATTTATTAAACTGTATATTGTTCTGGCGTTTCACTTTTTAGATTGTAATGTTATGGTCGTGGTGGCAACTTTTGAGGCTGCTTAATAACCCAACCGCCCCGGATTTATGTTCTGTCCCCTGCAGTTTCTTGTGAATGTTATTACTCACAGATGGCTCCACGTGCTCAGTCAGGAGTCTGTCAATAGCCAGTGACCGATCGTGATTTCCCCATTCCTTGAATAGACGGGAATGTGTTTTTCTTTCTCATACAGTTGACATCGATACTAATATTATTGTTATTAAAATTTAAATGACATTTAAGACCATGAAATAATGCAAAAGGCCATTTCCAAAAGTCGAGGAGAAGGGTAATCAGGCGAGATAGGTAGGACTAATAACCGACTCCTTGGTGACTAAGCACTTGCAGAGCCATCTATACGTAAATACAATAAATGACCTTATGTTACATTGAGCATGGCATGTATTATTGGGTCAAAAATAAGTTTGTGTTGAAGCAAAGATATGGGTTTTGCCAGGACCTTGCTGTATATTTTTTATCACTTATTCGCTCCTATAATCTTTTTGACTTCTTTTCATATACCATATCTAATTAATTCTTTCAATACTGATAATTTACAAATGTAGTTGTCTGCGTGTTCAAACTTATAATATATATCTATATAATATATATGTATATCTATCTATCTATCTATATATATTACATGCATAAATACATACGCATATGATTGAGCATATGTTGGAAGGCATCCAACATACTACGTGAAACAATAAAAGGAAATAAACACACAAACTATACCAAAATATTTAATATTTTCTTGTACAATAACTTACGTAAGATCAAATACAAATTGTAAATATTATGTTTGGAAATGAAGTGCAAAGAACATGTTAATGGCAACCGCACTTTAACCAGTACTCACGTCCCGTGTTGCAGATACACTACGGAGTCGCGAAACTTCGCCGACTCATTCAGAGAATCGTTCAATGTGCGTCTGCGACAGCCCCAGCTGTCCCGGTCTGCAGCCGATAAGGATAACTAGTACCGGTCAACAACTGACGCACAGAAAACTAACAAGGATAAGATTTATGAGTAGCTTCTTGTTAATCCATTCGCGCCGGCGCCAGGTCCTTGGTTTCGAGGAACCGCCTCAGGCCCGCCTCCCGTGACGCATAAACAAGCAATCGAATGGTTATTTCTCCAGTTTCCCGGGTGCGAAATCCTACAAAGAAGAAGCGAGAGAGGAGGCGATGAAAAGGACAAGAGAGCATATAAAGTAAAAGAGGAAGAAAGCCCAGGAACTGCCAAACCCGCACCAGGCTCCCGGTGCAAGAGATCTGCGAGGCCGCAGGTGCGCCCGGGGGACCGCGAGGCCGCAGCCTGGCCGGCGAACAGACGTGAGAGGCGGTTGCGAGCGCCACACATGCGGGACAAACGTGGTGCGACAATGCCCTGCCTTCATACAAGCACGTTGAAATTAAATTTAAAGAACAAGGATTCTTTGCCAGGGTAAATTAGATATGTTTTCATGAGAATTCTTAATGCCTCTAAGAAAAATCTCTTAAAATCTCCTGGGTTATAATATACAATTCAATGGTAAACTTAAAGCATACACCTCAATACAATACATAATGCTTTCTAAGGCATTGTAGGCACTAAAATAATATCAGACGAAAACCTAAAACCAAACGTGTTTGTGCGAATTCGTACGTAGGCGTTGAGTCGATACATGCTGTGTGTGTCTGGACGTACAGATCTTGGGTTTACGGTTAGAATGCGTTTTCATGTGGAGAGTCTTAGACTTTGTGAGACAGTAATGAATAAAATCTGGTGTTAGCCACTTCATACAAACAACGGTATTGCTTGAACCGACACCCATTCAAACCAAAATACATTTATTTCATAAAACCTAACTAAAGCAACGAAGAATGCGACACATCGGCCGAGATTTCGACAAGCCTTCGCAGGTGCAACGAAGGCGACGCGGAACGCAGCTCACCACCACCACCACCGAAAATGCGCAGCGACGCAGAATACTGTTCTCGAAGCCCCGCTCTGGCGTGCAGGGGAACTCCGGTGTTTGGGCCGCCAGCTCGTCAGTCAAGATCTTACAAAGCCTGTGCATTCTCACTTTGTCCCCGCAGCGTAAGAGTCGCATAAGGAAGCCAAGCTGTCGCTGGCGACCAGCTGGAGAGGCAGCGCCCGGCCGCCGGGCTAGCTGGCTTGCGCTTCTCTCCGCGACGCTGTAGGCACTGGGCACGTGCGGCATTAAAGACAAGCTTATGAGACTGAGAGAAGCACGGAAAAGAATTTCAGTTATCATAAAAACAGTAATAATGTTGATAACAATGATGATGACGATAATAAAATAATAATAATAATTAAAAAAATAATAATATAAAGAGGCAAAAATACCAAAGCCTTCCTAAGGCCAAGCCCCCTGTACATAATTGTTGTCACAACATGCAACGGCAGTGAATGTGAAGTAATGAATTGAGAAAATAAAAAAATGAGATCTAATTGCCATCTATCATGTATACTATGACTACTAAGTTGGCAACACCCGCTGACTCTCGTCCGCGGCTGCAAATACTCCAAAGCCTGACTTCTCGCCCTGTCCCGTTTTCTTCAGTTTGAGTATCCGGCGTTTTCTTCCCTTCTTCCTTTCTGTTTGTACAACTTTCGTTTTCTTTGCATTTCGGCGTTTCCTCTTCCAGAGTTCGTTTTCTGAATTACAGAAAATTATTCACCTGCTACATTTTTCGTAACATCTATTTATTCATTCACTTTTCACCTTTCATTTCCTTTCTTACCTGTCTCCTCCAATTACTCCCTTTTCTATAATTCCTTAAGGTTCTTCCTTCCGATTTTCTTTCCTCCTTCCGTTCCGCGAATCTCTCTCTTTCCACCTCTCACCCTTCCACCCTTCCCTTCGCCTCTCGGCCCCTCGCCCGCCGTCGCCCTGCGAGCACGCCAGGGCCTCCTGCAGTGCAAGGCCTCAGGCGCGCCCTCGTCTCTCTCCTTGGGACGACTTCAGCGCGAGGCGGTTTGTGTGTGGGGGAGGGGGGGGGCACACTTGCGATACCCTCAGCTTGGAGGACCAGCGGGAGCAGGGGGGGGGGGGGCGGTGGAGAAAGGAAAGGTTGGTGGAGGGGGGGGGAGGAGGAGGAGGGGGATGAAGTAGTAGTAGTAGTAGTTGTCAGAGGAGGTGGAGGAGAAGGAAGACTATGAGAAAAAGGAAGAAAAGGAAGAAGAAGGGGGAAAAGGGAAAGAGAGGAGGAGGACACAGAGGAGGAATATAAGAAAAAGAAGAATAGGGAAAGAAAGAGATGAAGGGTAGGAAGGAAGAGGGAAAAAGGGCAAGAGGGTAATCGGAAATAGCGGAGCAAGTGAAAGGTGAAACAGGACTGAAGGAGCGAGGGCTCCATGGAGAGCGGGTACCCCTCTCGACAGCCGAAGAAACAGGACCCGAGGCCCGTCCGCCACCGGCCGCCGCAGGTTTGGTGCTGCGGCCGCAAGCTCAGAGGGACCTGTGGGTCCGGAGGCGCCTCCCGGTAAGGCTTCCTTCGCGGACGGGGGTGCTGCGCCGGCCGAGTATTATCCAAAGTCGCTCCTAACTCCAAGTCTAGATGAGATGAAACGATAGTGAATGCCCCTAAAGAATAGACAGTGCGGCACACGTAGAAAGGCCGACGAGAGGACGAGACAGCCGTGTCGGAGACGAGGCTCGGCGGCAGCGGCGGCTCGGGGCGACGGCTCAGTCCCGCTTCCTTTCCGCTCGCACTGGCACCGAGGCGGCCCTTAGGTGTTCGCCACGGGGCTGACGGCGTTGGAGCGGCGGCTGGCGGTGTCGGCCGAGCTGTCCACCGAGGCGATGGTTGCGCTGGCGGTTGCGTTGGCGGCGTTGTGGGTCTCCTCATCGTCGGCGTCACAGTCGAACTGCGGGGAGAGAAAGAGTCATGTTTACAGCGCACTCACATTCGCATGCTACAAGCACCCGTGGACGCTTGCACATTCGCTGAAATATTAGAACTGAAATGATACAGGTGCATGCGTGCACAGGTGAAATCCCAATAAAAAAATAGAAAGTGCAATTCAAGATTAAACAAGAAATACCGAGTGAAGAAATAAGTATATGTATACGCACACACATCCACACATGCACACACACACACACACACATGCATATATACATACATACATACATACATACATACATACATACACACATGATATATATATATTATGTATATATTCTACATATATATTAATATAACATAATAAAATATAATACATAACATGTATATATTATAACACACACACACATATATACATATATATATATATATATATATATATATATATATATATATATATATATATATATATATATATATATATATATATATATATAACATACATTATGTATACATATCATAAATTATTATGATATATAAATATATATCATAATATAATATATATATTATAATACATATAAATATATATAACATAAATTATGTATATATATTTTACATATTATTATAATTATATATATATATATATATATATATATATATATATATATATATATATATATATATATATATATATATGTATATGTAATATATATACATTATTTATATATTATATATATATTTATACATTATACAGACATTTATATATTATACATACATTTATATATTATACATACATACATATATACATACATACATACATATATGCATACATATATACATACATACATATATACATTATATGTATGTATGTATATATGTATGCATATATGTATGTCTATATGTATGTATGTATAATATATAAATGTCTGTATAATGTATAGATGTATATATATAATATATTACACACATACATACACACACACACACACATACATACATATACACATATATATATATATATATATATATATATATATATATATATATATATATATATATATATATATATATATACACACACATGCACACACACACAAAGAGACGCACGCGGGGGAGAGTAAAGAAGCAAAGAGAGTTGGCCGAGGCAGGGGAGGGGAGAGGAGGGGGAGAGGAGGGGAGAGGAGGGGAAGGGCGAGGGTGTAAAGGGGCGGATGGGGTGCCACTCGCATGGTTAGAGGTCCCCCATTCGTCATCCGGGTCGCAAGGGGGAGGGAGGGGAGGGAGGGGGATGGGATGGAGGGAAAAGAAGGGAAGGGAAGGGGTAGGAGGGCAGGCGGGCGGGGGCGCGGCGAGCAAAAGCGTGGCCGGTGCCCTGGCAGCAGGCAGGTGCGGCGGGTGCGTCCTACGGCAACAGCGGTCGATTGCCGACTCCCCACGACGCCGCTGGATGGCCAGGGCAAGGTCAGGGTAGAGGGGTGGGGGTCTCTACCCGAAGAAGGGGAAGGGCTGAGCAGAGGCGGGAACCGAAAGCGGCGCCGGGGAGCAAGAGCGTGCAGGTGTGCGGTACAGAGGAGCGATGACGGAGACATTACTGTGTGAGACCTACGGGTGCACAGACGGACAAGAGTAGAAGAGCCTGGCTGCGGATGTTTCAAGAAAGAGGAAGGAACCTCCACCCGAACGCCAAGGCCGACCCGAAAGCCACCACCTGTGCTACTTCCACCCACCAGCCCAGAGAGAGCGGAGAGCGCCCGAGCGAAAAGGAAACGGGTTGACGGGTCTTACCTCGGAAAAAGGGTCAAGTCAGGTCGCAAAGAATAGGCCAGGCCTGGGCAAAGCCTAGCAACATTTACGCAGAAGGGGTTGCTGTGGGAGAATCAAGAGGGACATCAACACAAGAATGATACGAGCGGCCGACGGTCGCGTCCCGTCTGCTAGCGCCGGGGCGCGACGCAGACTGGTAAACGCCATCCACCAAAGCTAGGCTCTCAAATTATCTCATAGGCACATATGATTTCCAGTTACAGATCCTTCAAGGCAACCAAATATTAATTCATCAAACCACCATGATAATAATAAAAAATAAAAACGACATTAAAGACAGAAAGAAGAGAAATGCAACAGGTACAGGAGGCGGCAGATAAAAGGCGTGGAGGAGGGGCCGCGAGTGCAGCCCCGGCCCCTTGCCCCTCCATACGCACAGCTACTGCCAGAGGCGTCCCGCAGGCCAGAATGAGGCACATTTCTCCCAACGTCTCGAGGCAAAGACAGCCTTCCAAAAATAAACCTCTTATCTTCATTCGTGACACCTCAGTGCGACAAGCGAGGCACTTTAGCCCTGGTCAGTCACTTGCAAGATGAACCACTTGCTTTCAAGGAACCACGAGTGGTCTGTTAACGCTGATGAGGTCTGGTCAAACGACACGCTTCCCCGACTGCGCTTGCTCACTGGATACTGACACGTTTGGGAATGGTCAGTGAGGCAGCCTTCCTCCGGTGAACTGTGGCGAAGGGAGGTCCATTATGGTGACGACAGTGACTGGTATAAAGCGTACTCTCCATGAAGATTTCACAAGCAAACATCCTGATGACTACAAAGAAAAGCAGAAAAGAACGTGTGGCAACCAAGGACTAAAGTGACACATTCAATATTTTCATCCTCCATTAAGTAGGTGGGGCTGGACGCTCGTGGCCAA